CCCAAAACAATTCAGTAGAGAGGAATTGCATCCCCAAACCACTGCATCCTGTTGCATGTGTCTGGCAGATGATACTCACATAGAGTGGGGATTATAGAAGGATTTACTTGGTTAGGGATCTCAGCAAAATAATTGGTAATGCCTGAGAACTGTCCTCCCTCTAAGGTCAGAAAAGGATATTGTGATGCATTGGTGACTCCAAAAGAGAGGGAAAAAAAGGAATGGATTTGTTGAGAAAGGTGGCTTGAAAGAACCGGTGAGGTCTAAACAGCGATTGTATCATGTATACATTAAACCAACAACCAGGTTCACAGAGTGTGTTACAGGGGTCAGTCCAGCACTTTCTCCTCTGGGTCAGAATGTAGTGGGTTCAAGCCACATCATTACTTTGAACTAACATAGTCTGAGCTGACACTCCAATGCAGAGATGGAAGTGTGGGGGGAAGTGATGCACTGCATTGTCAGAGGTGCCGTCCTTGAGAATAGATGTTAAACCAAGGTGCCATCTGCCTGTGCAGGTGGACATTAAAGATCCCGTGACACTATTCGAAGAGAAGGATATTTTAACATTGTAAAGAGTGCAGTATAGATTTGCCAGGATGTCACCAAGCAAGAGTGGACACTGCTATCAGAAAAGATTGGACAAATTAGAGTTCTTCTCTCTGGAGTTGAGACAGCGTTTCTCCTGGTGTCCTGGCCAACAAATCCCCAGATACAGTTGGTCATTCACACTTCACGGCTGTTTCTAGCTATTGCTGTACTCAACCTGGCTGCTACGTTTGCCTACAAATATAAAAGTCACTCCATTTTGCAGCAAACCCTGCAAAGTGTTTTGAGAAGTCCTCCCGACGTGAAAGGTGGTCGATCAGTTTCCCTCTCAAAACGTCTCAACTCCAAAGAGAAAAACTCTAACCTGTCTAATCTTTCCTGTGCACTCATCCCTGGTAAAATACTTGAAGAGTAAAACTCCTGGTGAAGAATCCCCTCTGCATACTGTCTCTGTTCCCTGCAATCACTTACTGTGACTTACTCTCTCTGGCTCTCGCCCTTTGAGATCATCTGTCTGACTTTCACCTTCCCTGGTTTGGTGGGGGGGAGGGGGGGATTGATTTTCACTCTCTCAGCGGTTTGTGAAAATGTTCCCAGTGCAGTTTGATCTTTTAAACAAGAAATGCTTCACGGAAGCTTTCTTCCACGGATGATGGAATGGGCTCAGCCTGGCTCAATTGGTAGCACTCTTACCTCCACACCAGAAAGGCCGTGTGTTCAAGCCCATCATTGGGACTTGGAGCTAACATACTCCAAGCTGATGTTCTAATGTAATGCTGGTGGAGTCCACGGCATTGTTGGAGGTGTCGTCCTTCGGATGAGATGTTGAACACCATGTCCTACCTGTCTGTTCATGTGGATGTTAGTTGAAAAGAGAAGAGTGTTTCTCCTAGTGTCCTGCCCAACAGTCTCCCAGGAAAAATATTAATCATTTCATTTCATGGCTGTTTGTGGGGACATGGCTATGCACAAATTGCCTGCAACGTTTGATTACAAAATACACAGTCACTACAATTTACAGTGTAATCATGTGAAGCACTTCAAGATGTCCTCCCAACATGAAAGGCGCTATATCAAACGCGAGGCTTATTATTTAGCATTAGCATTAAACAGGTGTGAGCTCAGCAAGGGAGGAAGAGCAACAGAGAAACATATCAGCTTTCCCTTTGCAGCAGGACATTTCTGCTGACAGAAATGGAACCTTCAAATACTTTCTGCTGTTTAAAAAAAGCAACCAACGCTTCATCATCAGCTTGTCGCAAAGTATTCCTCCCACACAAAACCAGGACAGGTCTTTTCTGGTGAGGGGGATGGATAACGTACAGTGTTTGAGGGAAAGGTTATAATAGGAGACAATTTAACTGGGTGGCATTTTGAATCCCATTAAACAAATCGGGCTGGAGATGCTGATCAGCATCTGAATAAGGAAGACAGGTTAGTTATCCGGTTCGGAGGCAGAGACCCTGTGTCAGCCCTGCAATCCTTGTCTCTCAGCTCTTCTCTCGGTTTCTATCATTTTCTGTGCTTCTTTCAGATCTCCAGTGTTGGCAATTTCCCTTTTAATCTTCAATTCGCTTTGGTTCAGTTCAGAGGTGACACCACCTCCCTACCCTAACCTTAACCCTGGCTCAGTCAGCAGCACACTTAATCTGAGTCAGAAGGTCGTGGGGTTGAGCCCAAACTCATGTAGCCCAGGTTGACACTCCGGTGCAGTGCTGGGGGAGCACTGCATTGCCGGAGTTGCTGTTCTTCGGATGAGGCATTAAACCAAGGTCCCGTCTGCCTGTTCAGGTGGACATTAAAGATCCCTTGGCACTACTTGAAAAGAGAAGGGAGTTTCTCCTGGTGTCCTGGTCAACAAACCCCCAATTAAAATTGGTCACTCACTTCATGGCTACTTGTGGAACATTGCTGTGCGCAACTGCCTGCGCCTTTCATCCACAAAATACAGTCATATCATTTTACAGTATATCCTGTGATGCACTTTGAGAGGTCTCGACGACATGGTAAATGCAAGTTATTATTAGTATATGTTTTTTGCAACCCTGCAGCATTAAACTCAGTCAAGACGGCTTGACTTCCTTTTGCCTGACTAATCCAAAGCTCAGAGGGACAGAAGTTTCAAAAAGCCAAGTCTGGAACCACAACTGGGGAGACATGGCACTCGGGGTCTAAATCTGCAGTATACTTTCTCAGCATTTCAGAGAGTGTGGAATTCGAGCCACAGTACCTCAGTACCTTCAACCCCAAACTTAATTTGAAAGTTGGTTTCTCAAGGGATTTATTTTCCTGCAAAGACGGCAGACAACCAGCTTCGTAACCAGCCTGAACTTAAATAATCCATTCAATTCTGCAAGCAGCCTCTGAAATGCCTAAGAAGAGTGTAAGATTATGCCCTAAGGTGGGAATTATTCTCCCCACAGTGTCCATATGTTGTCACCAGGCTTAGACGTCAACCATTGATCTATCTCCCCCCAGGCTTCAAATGCCACTTCCAAAAAACCCTGCTAGAATATGTGTATATAACAGCCATAACGCTACAGAACACACAGTCAGTACACTTAACAGTAAACCCTGCAAAGTGCTTTCAGACAGCCCAACGAAGTGATAAGGCGCTATTTCAAAATGCAAGGATGATCATAATTAATGTTATTCCTCTGGTGCCCTTGCATTGGATCTCCAATCACTGAGGATCCTGTGCCAGTCCGTTGCCTTTACATTTATGAGGCTTACTTTAACATGAGCGAAAAAAAACAGCTCCCTGGAGGGAGGGAAGGAAGGGGTGAAATGGCACTGGGAAAAAAGGTGCCTTCTACCTCTTTAGCTCATGTTTAAACACCGGGTAAAAACTTGATTGGAACCTTACAGATGCTGGCATCGATTAGTGGATCCGGGGAATGAATAATGAACATCAATTTGGAAGTAAATTAATGGACAATAAATGTCAGCTAAAGTAAACCTGCAGTAAATTCCATGGTTGGCATCAGCGGGGAAATGGCAAACTCTCTGCCTTGGCACCTGGTAATGGTTTGTTACCCTTGATGTTCACAGGTGATACAGAGTTCTGTAGCTTAGTGGGTACGCTACTCGCCTCGCAGGTGAGAGGTTCTGGGTTCGATTCCCGAGAGAGGCAAAACCTTAGGCAAGTTTCTTTATTCCACACGCCTCTGATTACTTAGCAGTAAGTAGGAACCCAGCTGTTAGTCGATTGGCGGATTGCTTCCCAGGGTTAATAATGCCCTCCCCCGCAAAAAAAATTGTCACTTAAGTCACAACTGTTTGCAATTGGTGCCACGTTTCACCAACAAAATACAGTCAATCCACTTTACAGTATATTCTGTGAAGCGCTTAGAGGCGTCTCACTGACTTGATAAGGCGTCGTATCAAATGCAAGGATTATTATTATTATTTAACCGAAACACACAAACCTGTGTGATAACCCAGAGGCCTGGGTGTGCAAAGCACCTGTAACAGCAGGCAACCTTTCCGTAACCTTTCCAGGCAACCGTCCACCCGCAACGTACACAGTCGTAGCTACGCTCCCCCATGAAATAGTCTCGATGACGCAGTAAGGCGAACGCAAATCGAACACAGAGGAGTATTTATTGTTCGTTCATTGACGAGATGCTGCCACCGATGTTTGTTTGTTTGCTTTAACCCCTTTCCTGCTGCCCACCCCCCTCTCCTGCCCAGCAAACATCAGCATCATTGTCAAGGAGACACATTTCAACAGAGGGACACTTTGAGCTACAATAAACCTCCGAGGTCACATTTCGTTTCATGCGTTTCATCCACAAAATGTGCAGTCAATCCACTTTACAGTATATTCTGTGAAACGCTTTGAGACGTCTCAACGACATGAGAAGGCTCTATCAAATGCAAAGATTATTATTATTGCTGATGGTAACATATATATATATATCAAAAGGGATTTGCGACGGAGAAGCAATCACAAGTGCAGGGATCTAACCACATTGTTACACAAGGATGCTACAATTTCACTTTTGTGGTACTCGCCCCCCCCCGGCTTTTGTCAAAAATCAAAGCAATTTTGGGACCCACATAATAATAATAGCAATAACAATAATGATAATAATCCTTGCATCTCATATAGCGACGTATCGTTGAGACGTCTCAATGCGCTTCACGGAACACAGCGCGGAGGGAATTGACTCGTGCATCTGCGGGCAAGGCAAACGGACCTGAAGCGATGAAACGAAGACGATGAATGAAAATGCACAAAGAAAGAAATGAGGAGATAAAGAAATAGATGGTGAAAGAAACGAACTGCAAGGAATGAGCGCACTCAGCAAATGAAAGGGGGTTTGATTGCAAAGAGGGAGAAAGGGCAGTGACATCCCAGGATTGGGTTCCAGTCAGTGAATGCACACACATAACGCACATAAACATACATAACACACACACACACAACACACAACACACACACATACCTTCCTGACGCCAGTGAAGCCTCTCTCTGCGGCCACTTCCTTGGCTGCAGCCTCTCCACTGTCCTGCAACTGGACCAGGAATTCGTTGGTGTAAACTCGCTCTTCGGCCGAGGAGGCTGTGAAAACCACTGCATTGAGGAAGAGAAAAGCCAGAGTGGCCCCAGCACTGGCACACCCCCACCTCATCTCTCTGGGCTTGTCTGTGTCTGTGTCTGTGTGTGTGTGTGTGTCTCTGTCTCTCTGTCTGTCTCTGTCTGTGTATCTGTTTGTATTGGCTCTGTGTCTCTCTGTGTGTGGCTCTGTCTGTGTGTGGCTCTGTCTCTCTCTGTGTGTGGCTCTGTCTCTCTCTGTGTGTGGCTCTGTCTCTCTGTGTGTGGCTCTGTCTCTCTGTGTGTGGCTCTGTCTCTCTGTGTGTGGCTCTGTCTGTGTGTGGCTCTGTCTCTCTGTGTGTGTGGCTCTGTCTGTGTGTGGCTCTGTCTCTCTGTGTGTGGCTCTGTCTGTGTGTGGCTCTGTCTGTGTGTGGCTCTGTCTCTCTGTGTGTCTCTGTCTGTGTGTGGCTCTGTCTCTCTGTGTGTCTGTCTGTGTGTGGCTCTGTCTCTCTGTGTGTCTCTGTCTGTGTGTGGCTCTGTATCTCTGTGTGTGGCTCTGTCTGTGTGTGGCTCTGTCTCTCTGTGTGTCTCTGTCTGTGTGTGTGTGGCTCTGTCTCTCTGTGTGTCTCTGTCTGTCTCTGTCTCTCTGTGTGTCTCTGTCTGTGTGTGGCTCTGTATCTCTCTGTGTCTCCTCTCTGTCAACGTGTGTGTGTATATGTAAATATATAATAATATATATTATTGTATATTATTATAACGCGCGTCTCTCTCAGTCTCTCTCTGTCAATGGGTCTTATCTCTGTGTGTCTCTCTGTGTGTGTCTCTGTGTTTGTCTCTCTACCTATATGTGTCTCTGTCTCTCTATGTGTGTCTCTCTGTCCACATGTATAGCTCTCTGTCTGTCTGTGTGTTTGTGTCTCTCTCTGTCTGTGTGTTTATGTGTATCTCTGTCTCTGTGTGTGTTTGTGTGTCTCTCTGTCTGTCTGTTTGTGTCTCTCTCTCTATGTCGTATCTCTGTCTGTCTGTTTGTGTCTCTCTGTCTGTGTCTCTCTCTGTGTCTCTTTGTGTGTCTGTGTCTCTCTGTCTCTCTGTCCGTATGCTCTGTCTCGGTGTGTGTCTGTGTGCTTCTCTGTCTCGGTGTATCTCTGGCTCTGTCTGTGTTTGTGTGTATCTCTGTGTGTGTTTGTGTCTCTGTGTTTGTGTGTATCTCTTAGTCCTTGTGTGTGTGTGTGTGTGTGTGTGTCTATGTGTCTCTCTGTATCTCCCTGTCTCTGTCTGTGTGTGTGTGTGTGTGTCTGTGTGTGTGTGTGTGTCTGTGTGTGTGTATCTCTGTGTGTGTTTGTGTCTCTGTGTTTGTGTGTATCTCTTAGTCTGTGTGTGTGTCTATGTGTCTCTCTGTATCTCCCTGTCTCTGTTTGTCTGTGTGTGTATGTGTCTCTCTGTCTCTGTCTGTGTGTGTGTGTGTGTGTGTCTCTGTTTGTCTGTGTGTGTGTGTGTGTCTCTCTGTCTGTGTGTGTGTGTGTGTGTGTGTGTGTCAGGGTGAGTGCAGCAGCCCCTCTGTGTGAGTGCACCGGGAGAGGATGGATGGATGGAGAGGGCACAGAGGGGATTTAAACCCTACAACAGTGCGATCCGATCGCCCTTCTCAGAGCTTCCCCATCCGAGCCCGAGGCGCTGCCGTGCAACTCGCCCTGCACCGTGTGCCAGTCTGCCCTGCCCTGCCTGCCCTGCCCTCCCTTCCCTTGCCTTCCCTTGCCTTCCCTTGCCTGCCTTAAGAACAGCCCCGCAATTTCCAGCGGCTGATCTATAATTCATGATGGTTTGGCTCAGGTTTTTTTCACTGGATCACGTCAAAGGCGCGTCAAACCCATTCAGCAGCCAAACCTCCTCAACTGGAACTCACACAAATTCCACCTCTTGCATTGGCAGCTCTCAGTGGGTGATAATAATACTATACTACTACTACTAATAATAATAATAATCCTAATAATCCTTGCATTTGATATAGCGCTTTTCACGTCGGGAGGACGTCCCAAAGCGCTTCACGGAACACACTGCGAAGTGAGTTGACCGTATGTATATGTTTGTGGGCGAACGCGGCAGCCGATTGCGCACAGCCGTCTCCCGCAAGCAGTCGTGGATTGAAAATGACCAATTGATTGTTGTTTTTTGGGTTTGGGAGGGATTGTTATTAGGCTCTGTGTGGAGTAAGGAAACTTGCCCGAGGTTTCGCCCTCTGCCTGGGATTGAACTCAGGTCTCTCGCCTGCAAAGCGAGTGCTCTAACGACTGAGCTACAGGACTCCACTAATGCTACTAATAATAACGAGACTTGTGTTTTATTTAGCTCCTTATCATGTCATCGAGACGTCTCAAAGCACTTAACGCAACATACTGTAAAGCGTACATTTTGTGGGCGACGCGACAGCCAATAACGCACAGCGGTGTCCCACAAGCAGTCGTGGATAGAGTTTAGCTTTTTAATTTTTTTTAAAAGGGATGATTACCCCCCCCCCACCACCGAAAGCGATTTGCCAATCAAGTAACACCTGGTTCCTACTTACTGCTGGGTAGAGAGGCGAGTGGAGTAAGGAGTGTGGAGTCCTGTAGCTCAGTGGTTAGAGCACTCGCTTTGCAAGTGAGAGACCTGAGTTCAATTCCAGGCAGAGGGCGAAACCTTGGGCAAGTTTCCTTACTCCACACAGAGCCTAATAATAATCCCTCCAAAAAACAAAACAATAATAAATTGGTCATTTTCAATCCATGACTGTTTGTGGGACATTGCTGTGCGCAATTGGCTGCCGCGTTCGCCCACAAATATACAGTCAATTCACTTTACAGTGTGTCTGTGAAGCGCTTTGGGACATCCTCCCGACGTGAAAAGCGCTATATCAAATGCAAGGATTATTATTATTATTATTATTAAGGACACTTGGCTGAGGTTTCGCCCGGCCCCGGGAATCGAACCTGGGTCTTCTCGCTTGTGAGGCGACTGTGCGAGCAATCTCGCCTCTTGAGTCAGAAGGTTTTGTGTTCAAACCCCGCATCAGGACTTGAAGTTGCGTAATCTAATTGACGCTCCAACACAGCACTGGGGTATGAGGCATTGTCCTTCGGATGAGACGTTAAACCAAGGTCCCATTCAGGTGGACATTAAACATCCCACGCCAATATTAAAACAGAAAAAGGTGTACTCATCAACAATCCCCCAAATAAAATTGGTTGCTCACTTTCTTGGCTGTCTGTCGGACATTGCTGGGTGCAAATTAGCCGCCCTGTTCGCCTGTATGTTACACAATTTACAGAACACTTTACAGCAAATATTTTAAGACAAACTCCAGATGTGAAAGGCACTACACCAAATACAAGGATTATTATTATTATTACTGTTACTCATGACAAATTTTAGGGGATCCAGAATTTGGCAAATTACTGAATTCCACCTTCATTTTGGAGCCAGATTCTTGCACTTCTCCAGGGAAAAAAAAAGCCAGCTTCAGATCAAAGGCAAAAATAAAGATTTTCACAAATTTTGAATGTTCTAATATTCTATGTAAACAGAGCAAATCTAGACCTGGTAGAATCTCCTCTGTGACTTTTAAAAGGGTCACCGAATGTATACATTTAATATAGGTTCCATGCCACTGTGGAGGTATTCTTTTATTTTGGTCAACTTGGGTGTCTGGCACGTAATAATAATTCTTGCATTTGATAGGGGCGCCTTAACACTTCATCAGAGCTTCTCAAAACGCTTCACATGTGGTACTGTAAAGTGTAGTGGCTGTGTATTTTGTCTTCAAATGCAGCAGCCAATTTGCACACAGCAACGTGATATCGGGAGAAAGTCCCTTCTCTTTGCGAATAGTGCCACAGGAACTTTAACGACCACTTGAAAAAGGGCAATGCAGCACTTCTCTAGTTTAGTATCATCTGCAAACTTGGAAATTGTACTCCCTATACCCAAGTCCAGGTTTTTTATATAGATCAAAAAGAGCAGTGGTCCCAGTGCTGACCTTTTGTCAAAACTATCTGGATTAAGTATCTGATTGTGATTCACAGGCAGGGCGAAACCTTGTGCAAGTTTCCTTACTCCACACGCCTAATAATAATCCCTCCAAAACAAAAAAACAGTAATAAATTGGTCATTTTCAATCCACGACTGTTTGTGGGACACTGCTGTGCGCAAATGGCTGCAGCGTTTTGCCCATAAATATAAAGTCAATTCACTTTACAGCATATTCTGTGAAGCACTTTGAGACGTCTCGAAGACGTGAAAAGCGTTATATCAAATGCAAGGATTATTATTATTAATTATTATTCAGAGTACACTATGAGCAGAAGGTGTGAGGCTTGAGCCCACAGTGTCTGATTCAAAGCCGAGACATTAATTCTCACCAGTGACTTATTGAAAAATAAAAGAAATTAAATCGAGTGATCATTTTCTGGTTTACACCGAGATCCCATCTGCCTGTTCAGATGAACGTTAATGATCCTGTGGCATTATTTGTAAAGGAAATGTCTCCTGATGTCCTAGTCAATAAACCCCCAACAAAAGCACAGTTTTGGGAGCATTGCAGCAGGCAAATTGGCTATTTTGCCCATAAAACATATTCACTACACTTTACAGATATCCTGTGAAATGCTTTTAGGTGTCCTCCTAATATGAAAGGCGCTATGTTAAATGTGCAATCCTGTAATATATGGTTAGAGCACTCTCCTCGCAACAAACCTCTGTTTACTTAGCAGTAAGTTGGAACCTGGCTGTCCATCAATTGGTGGATTGCTTGCTTTCTGGGGGTAATAATCCCTCAAAAAAAATTAAATGATAATAATTTGGTGTTTGTGGGACACTGCTGTGCACGATTGGCTGCCACGTTTCGCTCATAAAATATACAGTCGATTCACTTTTCAATATATCCGGTGAAACGCTTTGAGATGTGTCAACAATGTGATAAGCTGCTATATCAAATGCAAGGATTATTATTAATTGTAAGGGCTATTATTATTATTTTCATTTGGAACAGCCTGCAATTCTTTTGGAAAAATTAAAGAAAAGATTCCGAAGGCGGGTACAATTCACTTAATCCCCTTCCTGATGCAATGAGTCATTCTTTTAATAAACTGGATAAGACATGGGAGCATGCAAAATCAAGGTACAAAGTGTAACATCGGAGCAAGCCTGTGTCGCAAATGCTAACGGAAGCCCGAACGGTTAATTTGGAGCAGAGCAAATGACATTAAATTACATTATAGTCCAAGAATTACTGTGACCTACTGAGTGTTATTTTACTGTGAGTAGAAAGTTGAAACTGCCTCCAGAAAACAAATCCGTTGTGAAAAGAATAGCAAATATGTGCTTGGAATTAGTCTTTTTTTTTGGTCAGTTGGGTGTTTGGCACACACAGAAACCCATCACCAAGCTGAAGAGTCTCTGAGCCATACATTGAGCTCCACATGTATCCTATCATGAATATGTATATGCCACATGTATATGCCACCTACACATGGACATTTTCATATGTCTGGGGTGGAATGTGTAGTCTCGCTCTGGAGGGATACATCCTACTTCCCAAATTTGGGAAGACGGCTCAAGACGCTTTACAGGATTTTCTGTGACGTGTCATGGTTGTGTATTTGTTCAGCCCGTTTGCACACATTAATGTCCCGCAAACACCCATTAAATGAATGACCAAATTTGCCCGGGGAGCTTATTGGCAAGAACACTGGAAGAAATTTATTTATTTTTGAATAGCGCTAAAAGATTTTTGACTTCCACCAGAACAGGCAAACGGACTTTGATTTTGACGTCTCAATCCCCTCAACACTGCCTTGGAGCGTCAGCCTGAACTGTATGAGTTCAAAGTTCCGATGTGGGGCTTGGACACCCAACCTCTGAGCCAAAACCAAGAGTGCTACTCACTGAGCCAGGCTGACACTCACTGAGCCAGGCTGATACCTAAAGAACACGTGATCCTGAAATATCCTCTGTTCCTTGGATCTCAGACACCAGGAAATGTCTATTTTCCTGGACTGGACTCGTTTGGCAGGAAAGGTGGCTGAGGCGGAGATAATAGGGAGGTGATTGCACCCCCACCCATCCACCCTCTCTTGGTGGCACCTTTTCAAGTATGTAATTGTCAATTGCATGTGCGCTCATGATTGCTTGGATTAAAAGGTTTAAAAAATAGCTGGATTATTTCCAGCTGCAATTGTGAGCTTGTGAGAGAAGCAGCTAGCCACAGGGGGGTTTGGGGGTGGGAGGGGAATGTACATGGTTCGCCGTGGGGGCGTGGGGTGGGTGCTATGAGGAGCCAGCAGCTGACGCAGAGAAGCCAGCCTGCACTGTGGAGCCACTAATAACCCATCACCTCCCCACTCCCCCACCTGTTGCAAAAACCTGGCTCTACCACTGGGTTGAGGACATGATACTGGACTCATTTAGGACACAATTTTGGGAGGACAGTAAGATAGTTTTCTCTGGGTGGGTATAGTTCACCTACAAAACAGCCAGTTACAACCCTTCACAGTATACCTTGTGAATCACTTTGAGATGTCTTGACAGTGCGAAAGGGCGTTATGTCAAATGCAAAGATTATTATTATTATTGTGGAATTCAATTTCCGCTGTTCACTGCAGCTCAGTCTGAGTTTATCTGCTGACGATCTGACCCATCAATGCAGTCAGCGCTCTCGCTCGTGTCCTTCAGGTTAATAATAACCTCAATCTGTTTGGCGAGTCTCACAGTGCTGTCCGTCACCTGCGTTTTCCCATCCTCCTCTTCATTTCCTCCTTCAGTCTCTCCTTTACTGTTGAAATCAGGCATCAAGGAACCTTTGATATCTTCACTTACTGCCACAGGCACGTCAGCAAAACATTCTCCTGGAGCATTCTGTTCAGACGGAGCGGTCTGTCTGCCTCTCTGGCTATCAGCTCCTTCACTAGGGAGTGAACTGTCTGCATCCGAGGTGGAGCAGCCAAGAGCTTTAGTTGATGTTGAAGCTTTGCCTGGCAGAAATGCAAAGCATCGCATTAATATCCTTGCAGTCAGTACAGTTTACAGCTTCAATATCACATACCTCGTTCATTTCAAACCCCTCTCTCTCTCTCTCTTTCCTTTCCTTCATGTCTTTTTTCAACTGGCTGCTGCGTTTCGCCCACAAAATATAGTCAATCCGCTTTGCAATATATTCTGTGAAGTGCTTTGAGACGTCTAAACGACATGATGAGGTGCTCTATCAAATGCAAGGATGAGTACGATTATTATTATGTCCAACACAGCAAAGCAGCTGATGTGGAAAGAAACTACTTAGCGACATCTCATAGGCATTTGATGTGGTAAATATCACACAGCTATGTTCACCCCTATATGAAGTTCATCATGGTCAGGGTTGGAGGGTGAGATTGGTGATGGAAGGGGTGGGGGAGGAGATAACACCTTTTGTATTTGACAGACGAGTTTGTTGCAACCACTTCTTTTATAATAATATTCCTTGTATTTGATATAGCGCTTTATCGCGTCTCAAAGCGCTTCACAGGATATGCTGTAAAGTGATGTGACTGTGTATTTTGTGGGTGAGTGACATGTAGAGGCCAGTTGTACTTAGCAGTGTCCCACGAACAGCACTGGATTAGGTAACCAATTTTATTTGGGGGATAATAAAAATAATAATCATTGCATTTGGTATTGTGCCTTATCACATCAGAAAGATATCTCAAAGCGTTTCATAGGATTTACCATGAAATTCAGTAATAGAGTATTTGTAGGTGAACATGGCAGTACTAACGCACACAGTTATGTCCCACAAACAGCTATGGAGTGACTGACCAATTTTATTTGTGATATTCTGTGAAGCGCTTTGAAACATCTCCATGGCGTGATAATAATAATAATAGTGATAAGGCGCTATATGAAATGCAAGGATTATTATTATTAATGCTACAGGTGCAGGGAGGAGACCGTCATTGGATTTAAACCCTGCCCCTGAGGTAGGGAGCAGCATTCTAATCCATTGCATCAACCAACTCTCGTATGAAAAAAATTACAAACGTCTGTTCAACAATGAAAGGCCTTTGAAAAATTTAGAACTAGCTTTATCTGTTTGCAAAGTGATGCCTGGGGTTAGTTTCCAGTAACTTATTGAATAAATGCCTCACGTTCTTCAAAGGGTGAAACTGTACCTTAATTTATAATTCATGTCCTTTCCTGTCCTGTGACAAATACAATTGCCCATGTTCTGTTCTTACTCTAACCAAAACCTGCCAAAGAAACAATAAAAGCAAGCAGCCTTCCCTCCAGATGAGACGGATTTGTGTGTAAATGCTTTTCAAAGCTGTCAGCCTGGCTCAATTGGTAGCACTCTCGCCTCTGAGTTAGAAGATTGCGGGTTCAACCTTTTCTTTGAAAGTAATAATAATAATCCTTGCAATTAATATAGCGCCTTATCACATCATTCAATGTCTCAAAGAGTTTCACGGAATATATTGCAAAATGAATTGACTGTATGTTTTGTGAGTGAATCGCGGCAGCCAATTGCTCACAGCAGTGTCTCACAAACAGTCGTGGATTGAGTGATCAATTTTTTTTTTGAAGGGATTATTATTCACGGAAAAGCAATCCGCCAATTGACTGACAACCGGATTTCTATTTACTGGAATAAGGAAACTTATCTAAAGTTTCGTCCTACCCTGGAATCAAACCCGGGTCCTCTCGCTTGCGAGATGAGTGCTCTAACCACTACGCTACAGGACTCCACGTGGTCAGTGCAGGGCAGAGGGAGTTTTAATCTGTACACCGCACACGTCCTTCCCTATCTCATGCTCAGTGCTGCCATTCACACCTTTTCCACCTCCAGACTTGACTCCTGAAATGCACTAGTCTGCGGTCTCCCAAGTTCCACGATCCACTAGCTCCAACTCATCCAAAATCCCACCGCCCACAACCTTACTCACATAAACTTTCACACGTCCATCACCAGACTCCACTATCAACCCAACCCCCGGGGTATCAACTTCAAGATCGTCACCTACATTCCTTTCACAAACCCTCACTTCTCTGTCTCGCTCCAGCCTCATTCTTCTGCTCGCTCCCTCTGCCAAACAAACTCAGGCTGGTTGTGTGTCTACTGGCCCCCTCCACCCCATTAGGAACAGCAGAGCCTTCAGTCACTGTTACCCCCCCCACACACCTGGGAACTCCCTCTCTCAATCCCTCCATCTTTCCATCCCCCTCTCTCAATCTGTCTTCAAAAACTGCCGGAAAACCTAAAGTTGTTTGGATGGGTGACACCATTGATGGATGGGACATTGGTTTAACGTCTCACCTGAAGGACGGCACCACCAGCAAGGCAACGCTGCACTGTTTTTGCACTTTGAGAATGTACACAGCCATTCAAATTTATCGTACGTCCTGTAAAGAACTTTGAGACAGTCTTGATGACGTGATAAGGCAAATGCAAGAATTATTATTATAAGAAAATAAGCAAATCACACTGTAAAAGTAACCAAGCCTTTTCTTCCTTTAGATTTTGGCACATTACCTACTTTCTGCTCACATTAGTCGTAAATTCAGAACGTGATATACTTTTCCATTCTGTTTCCCTAAACAGAAAGCCAAGGACTCTATTGCATTTGTAGCATATTTGTCCACCCTCACTGCTACTTTTAGAGTCTTATGAATCTGAAAGCCTAGATCCCTTTGCTCTCTCTACCCTTCTTAGGGTCCTACCATCCAACGTTCTACTCGGTATAGTGTTTGCTATAGTGAATAACAGTCTCTGTCTGGTCTCAGCTTCATGCAATTAAGTAGGAGGCACTGTGCTGATATCAATAATACATGCTAACAATAGATTTTACTGTAAGCGTACAAAACACACAGGATAAATGTAGTAATTATGGACAGTGTCTCTTAAATAATGCATAGTTTCAGATACTTCTTATTTCCATTATGATTTTGTTCTCTTCGGCTATGATTGCCATTGAAAACCCACAACATGCTGTTTATGTTAAATTTACCACAAACCTCTCATCACAGAAGGACTTCAAAGACTTGCTAAACTTCTGTGGATGGCCTGGTAGGTGCATACTTATTGGCGCTGAATATTCCTCTCTTTCCGGAAGATGTTTCATCAGCTTGCACAAAATAGTAAATGACGTGTCAACCTTGCCCCTTGAAAAGTGTACTTGCAGTGTTAAAAGGGCAGGTGGCTCCCATGAATTTCTAGGTGGACCTTGTAACAACACAAAGTTGCATTTATAAAGCGTTTTTCACGTCAGGAGGATGTTTCAAGACGTGGACAGTCAAGGGTTTGCCTCAACACCGTCATTCATATGGACCCGAGCTGAGGGCTGAGAATCAAGAAGGGCAAGGATGGTGGGGAGGACGAACGAAGGCATGGTCAAAGAGGAAGGTCTTGAGATTGGGCTTGAAGGAAGAGAGGAAAGGGACGAGGCAGAGGGATTCAGGGATGGCGTTCCAGAGGGTAGGGGCAGAAAGGATGAAGGCTCAGTGTCCAGGGCGGGGGCCATGGAGCAGGCATTAATGTCTGCATGTTCAGACAAAAATTCCCCCAGATAAAATTGGTCATTCACTTCATCGCTACTTGTGGGACATTGGCAGTTGTGAGCAAATTGGTTGCTGTGTTCGCAGTCACCCCACTTCACAGTAAAATCCTGCAAAGAAGCACTTTGGGACATCCTCCCGATGAAAGGCACCATAACTAATCTAAGGCTTATTAATACAATTTGCATTCTGTTGCATGTTTTCAAATGCAACCATTATTTTTTTTATTAAAGCTTAAACTATATCTATTTGCTGTCAGATCTTAGTACTGTATTTCTATATTGAATTCAATGAAAAAATGTAGAGAGGAATAATTGGAAAGAAAGTCAAATCTCAACCGTAACACTTGATGCGTGACAGAATCCTGGGATCCTAATAGTAAGAATTGCTTCTTTACACACATTGCTCAAGGACACTGTAACGTTCAGGGAGCCTAGAACTAAAGGCTTCTAACTAGCAGCTTGGCAAAGTATAATCACATTTGAAAATATTGTAATCAAATGTGTGCGAAATAGGAATGCAAATTAGTCTGCAATGCACCTAATGTACGTAGCAACAAATACAGCATTGCCATTAAAGAGATATGAATTACTTAAACTTTCTGTGCTAAAACATCAATACTAAAAATAATCCTTGCAAGAAACCAAAATGTGCTCCAGAATAATTATAAGAATAATAATGCTTGCATTTCATAAAGCGCCTTATCACATTGTCGAGACAGCTCAAAGCACTTCAAAGGGTTTTATTGTTAAGCGTGGTGACTGCGCATTTGCAAGTGCACCAGAAAGCCAATTTGCATACTGTAGTGTACTATAAACAGCCACAAAGTGAATGACCATCCTTATCTGGAGCATTGTTGACCAGGACACCGGGAGAAACTCCCTTCTCTTTTCGAACAGGATCTTTTACATCCACTTTAACAGACAGTCGGTTTAACGTCTCAATGGATGTAGAATGGAAACAAAAAAGGAATGGAACCTTGTGAAAATAAATAGATTTAACCATTTCTCCAGTAGTTTGGATACTGGTATGAACTAATCAACTGGATACGATCACCATCTCGACCGTAACACTGGATGCGTGACAGAATCCTGGGATCCTAATAGTAAGAATTGCTTCTTTACACACATTGCACAAGGACACTGTAACGTTCAGGGAGCCTAGAACTAAAGGCTTCTGACTCGTGGAGTCCTGTAGCTCAGTGGTTAGAGCACTCGCTTTGCAAGTGAGAGACCTGAGTTCAATTCCAGGCAGAGGGCGAAACCTTGGGCAAGTTTCCTTACTCCACACAGAGCCTAATAATAATCCTCCAAAACCAAAAACAATAATAAATTGGTCATTTTCAATCCACGACTGTTTGTGGGACATTGCTCTGCGTAATTGGCTGCTGCGTTCACCCACAAATATACAGTCAATTCACTTTACAGTGTGTTCTGTGAAGCGCTTT